TCCTCAAAATCAGCAAATTCCTCGAAATTCTGATAATACAACAAATCCAAGACAATCCATGATTACAGGTGCAAATCCGATACATCCTCAATATCAGTTTTCCAATATACCACAGCAATCTCGTGCAAAAAAACCAAATCTACACATAGCTGTAAATTATACTGGTTCTTCTGAAGAAACATCTTCATTTCAACATAATCCACAGCAATTCGATCAACTAAGTCAAAATAATTCAGAGTCTTCAGCCGGGGGTTTACAACCTCCACAAAATCATTATATACCATATTCTGAAGTTAGACCTCATTCTTCTTACGATAATTGTAAACATACATCTTTACTACCTAACATGTTATCCCCTGGTCATAATATTGGCACTAATGGTGCTGGGATGATTAGAAATAGTTGGAGTGTAGGTTTAACTTCTCCTAATCCTGACCGTAGATCTTCAAAATCTCCATTACGTTTGTTAATTGATGAAAAAATTGAAAAAAGACAGACTGCTACTTCAATAACACTTGCATCTGATGAAAATGCAATACAAAAATATCGTGAAGCTGCTAAGAAAACAAATAATCCCTCTACTCAAATTCAATACGCTAAATTCCTTTTACATATGATTGAACTCCGAAATGCAAATAATGCAAAAAATCCTGAGATAAATATTGAACAAGAAGAATCTACAACGTCTAAATTAGTTCAGGAGGCTGTATATTGGATTAAACACCTTGCAAAAAGTGATCATCCTGAAGCATTATATATTAAAGGTACTTGGTACGAATATGGTCTATATGGAAAAGAAAAGAATGAGGAAAAAGCCTTCAAATATTATCAAACTTCATCAAAAAAGGAATTTCTAAAAGCAAAGTATAAAGTCGCTTTTTATCATGAAAAGAAAGATGATTATAAGCGTGCAATACAGTTTTATAAAAAAGCTGCCGCACAAGGTGAAGTAGCTGCATTATATGTATGTTATCTATACTTTATTTACAGTAATATTTGTTTATTGCATATGCTATATCTTTGAATTAATATCTATTTTTATTTTTATTTATTAGAGACTCTCATTGATATATATGTTAGGTGAATTTAAACAAGTAGTCGATTTTAGACAAGCTTTGATATATTTAAAGCATGCTGCTTCAAAAGCTGATGAAGATTGTCCTGATGGTGCTTATGTATATGGAATGATATTAGCTAAAGAATGGGATAGAGCCGTTGTTCCTGATGAACTTGTCTCTCCTGATGATCATGAAGCCAGAGAATTAATACTACGAGCTGCAAACTTAGGCCACGTTTCTGCTTTATTCAAGATAGGTCAATGTTATGAATATGGCACTTTAGGATTTCAATGTGATCCAATATTGTCTGTTGAATATTATAAACGAGCTGCTGAAAAAGGTCATGTTGAAGCTGATATGTCATTAAGTAAATGGTATCTTTGTGGTGCGGAAAATCTGGAACAAAACGAAGCACTTGCTTATGAGCATGCTGAAAAAGCTGCGTTGAAAGGATTGCCTACTGCTGAATTCGCTATGGGTTATTTTCATGAACATGGAATTCATGTTCCTAAAAATTCTGGCGCTGCCATGATTTGGTACACAAAGGTAAATGTTA